TGCAGACATCAGTTTTCACATCAAACGTCAACAAATTCAGAACACGTTTCCTGTGCATGACTTCTCCTCGAATGAGCCAATATTGCTCCATTATATTTGAAGAAAATTCACTGATCATGAGATATAAGCAACTAAATGATTATGGATATGAACAAACCAATCGCTCTACGAAAATTCTCCATGAGAACCTCGGTTTTCTTGACTTCAGCCGAAAACACCTCTGAGCCAACCATAGGACAGAATGGCATTTTGTCGCCTAATTCTTGTGCCATTGCAAGAGCGATCGCGGTCTAAAACAAGTAAACAATAAGTCTAGCTTATCGTTCTCTCACAAAGAAAACCTTAATAAACTAAATAATGATTTAAATGAATGAATTGCGCATTTATAATTCCTTCACAGATAGTATAAATTATGTTCTAAAATATCAAAATGTGATATTATTACCAAAGAGCTCTATGTGTATAAAATCAAACACTGATACAATTTACTTTTCCAGTTCCCATTGGTCCAGCCAACAGAATTGCTCTGCCTGACATTTTTTTCGAACGAATCATTTCCACAATTATTCCAGCCGCTTCGCGAGCTTCCATCTGTCCAATGAAGCCGCCAGCCTAAATATCCATCAGTCAAAAGAACACTTCAGATCAACTGAAGCGACAAATTAAACATAGGAATTCACTTGATTTTCAAGTACTACAGGCAATTTTCAAGACCGATCGTTGCGATTTTAAGTTTTTTATTTATTTAAACCAGTCAAAACAGAAATCCTTCTCAACAGAACCGCTCTAAGACAGTAACAACGATATGCAACATTGTAAAATAGTTGGTGTTTTGCAAACACAATTCTTGGAAACACGATATGTTTATGTACGCTGAACATAGAAGCGTGAATGTTCTGTGACAGTTGATATCTACAGTCGGAATTACGACCGAATCCAAGCTATGATGAAAGTCTCGGTCCCGATTGTCGTCGCAAGTCGGCGATTACCTGTATCTCCACCAGCTTATCAAATTTTAGTGTAAGCTTGACTTCCACCATGGCGAAGGATGGCTTTTTCGAAGTTAAATTCAACTGCAGTTGAAGATCGACTTACATTGTTTTTGGGCAATAAGGTCTCTGGGTCGAGACCAAGTCCTTTGACATGGCTATGTGCTGCAATTCTTTGCTTGCGTGCAGTTGATTTGACCTGAAAAGCAGCAAATTGAAACATTCGTACTGCGATAAATGATCTAGAGTATAACAACGACTGCTACTGCAATAGAGTCCACATAACGGTCCGAAATTTCTTCCGTGATGGTTCACAAACTCACGATAAAAAACAAATCACAAAAAATCAGAGATGAACTGGATTTTAAAAGCTTACTCGGATTTCAATAAATTGATGAAAACTTAAGGTGCATATATTTCTCATACAGTTTGTTATCATCGAAATTTTTAAAAAGATAAACCTCATCTATTTTGAGAAGTTTAGTGGATGAATTGCCTGGACTCGTCTCAACGGTCATTCTTGGTAGTGACTTCTGAAAACATTCTATTAAACTGCTATGCAATTCAAAAAGAACGAACAAAATATTTTGCAATGAACGAGCACACTAGAAACGCTCGACAACTCCTAAAAACTGAGATTAACCGGTACTACTGATTAGTAACTAACTTACAACCATAAAGTAGGATGAAAAAAAGTGATAAATTCTTGGAAGAAAAAATATTATCCTAAGGGCACTACGATCATTCGCTTAAATGTTAGCGAGTCAGAGACATTTGAATGTAATGAGAGTGAGCAATCTTCGAAAATTCCATAA